TATTTGTCCTTTTGTGACTGGGATATTTCACTCAGCATAATGTTCTCCAGAGTCAACCATTTTGAATAATATTGCATGAGTTCCTTGTTTTTTAACAGTATACTTTGTTGACTAGAAAGTAATGTTCCTTTTCCATGAGACAATATTTAAAACATTCTTTTTCTCTGCTATATATATTTGTACATACTTTTTTTAAAAATTCTGTTGATGACGTGTTTGATGACCACATTCTTCCCAAGATTCACAAGTTGTTGGCTGTGGAAAGTGATATAACTGTTTTATGGAAAGATATTATTTCATTCTATGGTCAGAGATATAAAGAGAATCCCCAATGTCAAGCATTCTGAATGTCATAACAATTCATCTGAAATGTATGACATATCTTTAAGGTGGAACAATTTACTGGGCTTTTGCTGACAAAGGGAAAATTTTTATGTACTATTCCTTGAATTTTTTCAGGGTTCTGTTGTTATTGTTGGTGGGTACCCTCAAGTCAAGTATGACTCAAACTGTCTGATAGATCTGAATTCTGTCCCATTCCTTGCCATCCTCATCAGCTGTCACATACTTGAGCCATTGTGTAGTCATTTTGTTAATCCACCTTGTTGAGGTTGAGGATCTTTCTCCCTTTCACTGATCCTCTACCTCTCTAAACATGATGGCCCTCTCCAAAAAGTGGCCTCTCCTAACATGATGCCCAAATTATGTCCGATAAAGCTTTGTCATTCTTGCCTCCAAGGAGTATTCTTGTATGTACTTTCTCTTAGACAAATCTGTTTGGGGGTTATTTGACAGTGCATGAGATATTCTATTCTTCTCCAACATCATAACTCAAAGGCACCAATTTTTCTTCTGCAATTCTTACTTAATTATCCAGTTTTCAGAGGCATAATAAGTGACTGAAAAGATCATTACCGTAATTAGGTGCACCTTAGTCTTCAAACTAAGTATTTTTTTATGGAAACAATCTTAAGTTTATTCTAATGCAAGATTAGTTTCTCAACATTAATTTATATAGTTAAGTATTTTTTTCCATGAACTGTCCATGGTGAAATATATTCTGCAAGTAGAAATAGTCACTGACATATAGGCTTGAAATAAAATTGATTTTATTTTGATGAAATATAAATTAGTACATATGAATAAAATTCTGAAGCCTAAATTATACCTCAATCCCACATAAAGGGAAAGTCAATAGTTCAAAATCCATCCATCAGTCAAATATTATTAAAAACACTTAAAGTCTTTGGTGAAAATTAGCTTCAAGGACATCAAATAAATGGCAATGCCATTTAAATGCATCACAGAACATTTTGAGATTTTCCTTGCCCAACTTTTCACATATTTTTCTATGAGATGAATTTAGGAATTTTCCTCTAAAAAATGAAAAAATTTCAGCTGTTCTATAGAGCTGTTTCTGATTAAGTGATCTTATTGTGTTTCCTTTTTTAAATTTTGTTTCACTTTTTTCCTTTTTTATTTTTTTTTTCATTGTGTTTCTGAAACACAATGCACAGGAGGATATTACGCATCTGTCTCTTCTAAAGCCACTGGTGGCCTTGAAGTGCATTTGGATTAACAGTGCAACTTCATACAGGATGCACCAAATGGATCTTCATCTTCTCAAGAGAGAAACTTTCTAATGGACAAAGTAAATATATGATGAGAAATGTTTTTGCTTAAATAAGTTTTATTCTTATTCCATTCATGGAAAAGAGTTTAATTGTCTTTATTTTCTTTTTGTCCCATAAAAAGGGATTTATATGGTTAAGACAGAGTTGTTGTTGTTGTTGTTATGTACCGTCGAGTTGCCTGCGACTCATAGCAACTCTATGTACAATGGGCCCTAAACTCTGCTCTGTCCTGTGCCAATCGCACTGTCTCTGACACTCCCATCCCAATTATCCCAGTCATTGAATCAACCCACCTCATAGAGGGCCTTCCTCTCCTGCGCTGTCCCTCCACCCTCCCAAGCATTATGTCCCTCTCTAAGGACCGGTCTCTCCTCACAACATGTCCAATGCATGTTAGACGGAGCCTCAGAATCCTTGCCTCCAAGAAGCCACCCAGTTTAACCCTTTCATATAGGTATTTCTCAAAACCAAACCAAACTTATTGCCATAGAGTCCACTTTGATTTAGAGAAACCCTATTGGACAACTGCCTCACAGGTTTTCCAAGGCTGTAAATTTTACAGAGGCAGACTAAGACATCTTCCTCCTGTGGAACAACTGATGGGTTCAAATTGTTTTCAGTTGAGTACTTTAACCATTACTCAAACAGGCTCATATATATGACAGGCACAAATGTTGTTGTTGTTATGTAGCATTGAGTTGTCTGCGACTCAAAGCAAACCTATGTACAATACCTCTGAACCTTGACCTATCTATCCTGAGTTAGTCTCACTGTGTCCCCTATACTTACCTCCCATTATCCCAGTTATTGTGTCAATCAATCTCACCCAGCGTATTCCTTTCCTGTGCTGTCCCTCCCCCTTTCCAAGCATGATGTCCTTCTCTAAGGCCTGGTCCCTCCTAGCCACATGATTGAATTATGTGTGATGGAGCTTCAAAATCCTTGATGTCAAGGAGTAGCTTGGTTTCATCCTCTCCAAGACAGACCTCTTTGCTCTACTGGTGGTCCATGGTATGTTCAAGGCTCTTCTCCAGCACCACAACTCAAAGACATTGATTCTTTTTCTGTCATCTTTAGTCATTATCTTTCTCTAGGATACATAGTAAGTCATTCTGAAGACCATGGTCAGAATCAGGCATACCAGGCACATTTATTTATTTATATACTACACCTATTAGCTACATCTAGGGAGCTCTGGTCATCCTCCTCCTGTGCAATTAACTGTCTCTGAAAAGCTGTCATAGGGTCAGCTATGGGTTGGTTCCAACTTGATGGTATATAACAACCATAAAAAATACCAAGCTCTGGTAGTGATCTAGTGTGTAAGAAGTGTCACTATCAATTCATAGACAGATTGTTCAAATCTATCAGCTGCTCCAAAGAAGAAAGAGTGACAATCTTCTCTCTTGTGATTTATAGCCTCTGAAAATGTGTTGGAGGGTCAAGGTTCTGACTTGATCGCCTTGAGGTGTTGTTGATTTAGGTTTGTTTGATGTTTATTTGGGTTTTTGTTTGTTTTGTTTTGTTATCATCTTTATATCTACCTCTTTTTATGGGACTTTGGCTGTTTGCTGCATTTGATGACAGTCCTGAAGGTATATGAGAGTAGGTTCTGGGGTTTTGTCTGATGTGTATTACTGCTCTTTACCCCTCAAGACAGGGTGTCCTTGTGCCTTTGCCTAGGGAGGAAGTCTGCTCAAAGGTATGGTTTTAAAACTCTGCAGCAGGAGGGAATGGGTTTACTGGCTGGAGCCTGTAATCTCCACTCTGAGACTTTGGCTGTTAGAATCCACAAGGCACGTGTGTCAAGTGATCAAACAAGTGATCTAAGCCCTTGTGTTTTGACGGATGGATGACCACTACAGGCAAGGGCAGAGATGTTAAAACTCTGGATCAAGGAATAACCGCTGCATCTGATGGCAGTCCTGTTGGGCACATGAGAGAAGATTTTTGGGGTCATGTCTGATTTGTATTATTGCTCTTTTCCCCACAAGAGCGGGTGTCCTTGAGCCCTTGCCTAGGGTAGAAGTCTGATTAAAGGTGAATGAATATTCCTTAAATGAAACAGTAGTCTTTTGCCTATTTGTTGAACTGGACAACTTGGTGTTGTTGTGATACTGCACACTGTTCCACAATATTGTCAAATACTATAATGGTTATCCATTATGTACAGTGTTTGGATGAGCTTCTATATTGATTTATGCTGGGAAGAAGAAGTGGCATCCACTTCCTAAACTAGATGTTTCTGGAAACTCTACAAACTCTCTAACTTCTATAAATATGCAGAAATGATGTTAGTTATAGAACAGAGTTCAGGTCTTTTGTGTAAAACTTACTCTCAGTTGTATTCGACTTGACAACACTTAACCATGGTTAAGTGAAACTGATTCTGTTTATGTCTGGAGGAACACTCTTCCACTTTGTAAATCACTCTTTGTCAGTGTGCTGTATGAAGTAACGTGGGTTACTGTGATGCTGAATTTTGTACCATTGGGGTATCAAATGACAGAATGATTTCCCAAAGTGGACAGTGTTTGGTGGAACTCCCAGTTGTAAAACCAATTTGGAAGCAGGAGTGGCATCCACTTCCTAAATCATATGCCTCTGGAAACTCTATGAACTTATAATTGATGATAGTTTTGGAAAGGCATTAGGTCTTTTGAGCATAGAGTCACTATGAGTCACACTTGACTTGATGGCAATCAACAACAACAACTTCTGTTTATACTTGGTTACACAAATATTATTTACATGTCTAGCCTCTTATACAGATGTTTCTTCAGAAGATTTGATTTGCTGAGTATGAACTCCAAATTAATTGAAATCGTAAAACTTTTTTGAGAATTTAGGTGCAAAAAATAAAAGAACTTTCCATACCTGGGAGCAATATCCAAAGCATTTATCATCATTCCAGGCAAAGAAAAGGCTCCTGTTGCACTGGCAAGTATGAGGAAAATTACAGTACTAAAGTAGCTGGAACTCAGGTAAAGCAGGCACATACTGAAGAGGACAGGAAGTAGAAGTCCTGCATAGTGAGATAACCAACAAAGTGAGATGCATGCTCATGACGGAGTGAAAGTTCCTCAAAGTGTCTTAATATCTTGGTTCTTTCTTACCTAGTGTGGTAAAGAGTTTCCGAATATTAGTTGTGCTGAGAATACTTCTAGATGAAAAAAAATCTGCCATCTGACCACTGAGAATACCACAAATCCAGGCAAATAAAAAGGGTAAGGCAGACAGAAGACCATTCTGAAAAGGAAACAGTGTTCTAAGAGTGAGTGTGATGGAGAACAAAACAAAACGAAGCACTGGTGTTGATACACATTGTTGTTGTTATTTGCTGTCGAGTTGCTTGCAACTCATAGCGACCCTATATACAACAGCCCTAA